AAAATAGTAAATAATTACACTAAAAAATGTATACATATATTTTTATTACTGATTTTTACAACTGTATTAAATAATAAATGCAACAAGTAAATATGAAATAAGTAACATGACATGTACAACATGAAGAGAAACTACCGATTGGTAGCACTCCAAGTGTATTTCTATATTAGAAGGTCCCGAGGCCATCTTCTTTTCAGACGCCTCGAGGGTTATCAGGAATAGAAGAGGAAGCAAGGTTGGAAACAAGAGGGTTCGGATGGCTCAGAAATTTATTATAGAAGGATAAATATGTGGATTGAGCTAAATCGGAAACATATGGTACATTAAGGTCGTTATGGATATTTTATTTGTGACATGTGGATATTATGGATATTAAGACATGAAAACACTTGTTGAGAAACCACCCAATGGTAGCACTCTAATAATATGTCTAGATTAGGAGATCACGGGGCCATCTTCTTTTCAGACGACTCAGAGGGTTATCAGGAATTGAAAAGGAAGCAAGGTTAGAAATTAGAGGGTTGGGATGATTCTAAAGTTTATTATGGAAGGATAGGTATCTGGATTGGGTCAGATCTGAAACATTAAGGTCATTATGGATGGTTTTATTTGTAACAAAGTTGGGAGCATTGAGGATTTTGGATTGTAGGTATTGGATACGAGAGGAATTCGATGGTTTAGTAGAGCCCCAAAGCTTGATCCCGTAAGTACATATAGACCTTGTTATAATAATATATATGAGTCTTTTATAAATAGTTGGCAGTTTAGAGCGTTTGTATAGTGAGTGCTGCAATAGTCGAAAACGTCAGGCGGTTTCTAGTCGTTTCAGTCCATTATGGGGGTTCCAAAAATTAAATACAGAAATTTTAAAGTGCTTAAAATAAATGTAATTGTAAACGAATAAGATCTTTTCATTAATTTTCTAAATTTTTATGATATTTGTTAGTAATATTGGCGCCGTATAATTTATTTTAACGTTTTTTAAAGTATTATTAAAATTATAAAATAACTCTGTTTATTTTTATTGTTAAGATGTAGGCAACAGTTGGGGGTTTCATTTAGTGTACGATTCCTTTTTTTTTTACTTATTAGTTTTTATACGGGCGGTTCCTCGGAATTTCAAAGAATTTACAGGGTCAATATTTAACATGGGTGTTTCACACATGTGATTGAACCTGTGTTCGTAACCTGTTCAACACCGGTTCCTAATTGCTTGCCCAAAGCTTTGGGAGTCACAAAGACAAGCCATGTACCTCGGCCGACCTTGAGAAATATTGGCACGAAAAATTAATCAACGGTTAATATAAAATATTTTAGAATCATCGGCGAAAATTGGATGGAAATTTAACCGGGTCAATGTAACTATATAACTGAGCGGGAGGGAACAGTTCCAGTATGTTTCTGGGTCATCCAACTTCGTCCCATTTCACCGCTGAGTTTCACTTTTCCTTAATTCAAAGTTTGGCTCATCACTGAAGTTAATAAAAAGATGCAACTTCTTTTTTTAATTTTTTTTTATTATGTATTGATATTAAAAAAAATTTACAAATTTAATGTCATGTTATGAAACTTTTTTTTTTTTAAGAAATTCTGTTTGCAGATCCTTTTACGTATATATATATTATAAAAACAATTTGACTGGTTATAGAGTTCTACGCTTCATTTATTGATCACTACAAAAATGTATATAGCAACATTAGTACCTGAAGTGTAGCTTAGAGTTAATATATATTGGGACTGTTAATGCGAAAGTTTGTATACTACAATTATAATTGTTTATTCTCTAGCTAAATTTAGAGCTAAAGGTGACATTTATAGTCTGTAACTGTTATAAGTAATGCGCTAAATATGAAAATAGCAGAGGGAAATAAAATATGAAATTATAACAATAAATCATAAATAACTACTAGATTTTTCTAATGCTCTTGTGTCATAAAATTTAATTTTTACATAGGACCTTATATACACAAACAGTAGCAATATGTCTAAAAAAAAACACTAAAAAATATTTTTAAAAATGTTTTTCCTTGAGGTTTAGAAAGATTTTTAGTTCTAAACCTCATTACATACAAATGAAACTTCATATTTCATATCTGTGAATTTGTGAACATGATAAATGAAGAATGTTAACTAAACGAAAACATTTTTTTCTGGTATTTCGACCAAAATGGGAAAAAAGAAAGAAAAAAAGATCTACCTTTCACAAGATTTGTTACTTTCGCATTAATAATAATAAAATAAATTTTGTTTATTTTATAACTTCTTTCCCTTCCTCGTAGAATATATTTAATTCGTCATTCCTTTCAAATTATCTATTTTTTTAGAAATTTAAATGTAACCTGCACGATGTAAAAATATTGGGGGTTTAAGATGTAATATCCGCCTGTAAGATTTTCTTTTTTCAAACCAGGCACTAAATATTTACGTTGAAGATAACTTGGTAACAAGTCGAACTTCGTACAATAAATATAATCATTAGGCCTATAATCATTTGGAAAAATAAAATAAAAACCAATAGAATAAGATAGTAAAATTAGTTTATTAAGAATCATTAATCATTGTCGTTATCCTTTGTATTTGTTTAAATTATTTATAACCATATTTATTTCATAGATCTTTTTTTCAATTATATAAAAAATATTTATTTGATTATCCACGAATATTATCTACCCCTCTCTATTCTCTTTGGCTGAAATTAAGTTAAAAATATAAAATTTTGTCGCAGGGAACATTAAATAATTCCTATCAAGTTAATTTTGTTTTTTTCTTTTTTTTTTTCGAATTATTATGTGCAATGTACACACAACCCTAAACAGTCACTGACTGAAACGACATATTTATAAAATCATTATTCGTTCTTTTCTTCTCTACAGTGCTACATTACTATCCCACTTCTCAGTGAATACAAGCTAGAGGTTAAAAAAAAAAATATTCGAAATGGTAATTTAAAAAGAATTGCTATATACGCTACACGATAAAAATAAAAAAAAACTGAAAAACTTCATGAGTTTTTGAAATTTTATGATTTCTTAGAATATTTATAAAAAAAATTAATAGTCTGACATTCCCGCCAACTCTTCGATAGAAAAATCTGGGTATAGTTAAGATTTTGAAAAAAACGGATCTTGAGGTGAGCCCAATCACCCTTATTGCCAGTCACAAAATAACATTAAGATTATAAAAAAAAGAAAGAAAAAAAAACAAACCTAAAATGTATCTGAGATTCAGGACACCGTTGTAGATTAACATTCTATAAAACTGGTGTTATGAAAAAACTTAAATTAAATAACATAAAACACAATTGTGTCCAGAAATACTTTTCGAAAACATAGCGAGGATAATCATTTTTAAATTTACCTAAATCACTTCAAAATATTAAAATTTTTACATTAAATTTGCTTGATGATTTTTCAATCAATTAAATACTTTTTTAAGAATTTGATTTTTATCATACTAATCTAATATTTCTACACTACTTCATTACTATCATACATAATTCATCTTTAATTATTCTAAGGGGACTTAGTCCCAGAATAAAGTTCTATTTTCTATTCTATTCTATTCTATTCTACGTAAAAAAAACTCTTTGATGACCGAAATAAGTTAAAAAAGTATACAAGAAATCGGAAATAATGGTACTAAAAAAAATACAATTTGTCAAACATTCAATAAACCTATATTTTTTTTTGTAATAAATTTAAAAACTTGTATACCATAGTAAATATTTTGATTATGTAGTACCAAAAGTGATTAGATGTTGAGCTGCAAGATTTAGATAGTACATCAATTAACATCAAAAAACATAAATTATATTAACTAAAAACATAAAATATATATTATAAATACAATCTATTATGCTAATGATTTTGTTAATGGGTAATTAGTTATAATAGTGGTACTGGCTAGCGGGAAAAATGATGAAATATAATTTTTAAAAAATTCTGTTATTTAACTATTTGAGGTTTTAGACAATACGCGGCCAAGTAATTTTTAATAGATTTTCTTATAAAATCTTATTTTCTTATAAGATTCCTAATATTTTATATGATCCAGGAGGAATTTATATTAAACGACGGAAGTAAATAAGAACTGATTGTTGGATTTTATTGTTTATAACCTCACTATAAATAATATAAAAATTATAACTTAGGCTAAGAACTATTATACTATATTCACTGATTCCAAAATATTTCTTAATGTGATAATCTGTTAATATTTTTTTTTGTTAAGATTTATCATTTAAAAATATTATATTTAAAGATATTATTCAATGCCTCAAATATCGTATATATTCAATTACTAATATTAACATAATTGCATATAACAAATAGAGCATTTCAATTCGAACATAAAATTTATAAAACGTATCATTTTTAAATTATCTTTCCCATATGGTGGCAAAACATGATCATAATGTAGTAATAATAATAATACATAATACTAATAATAATAAAACTTCGAAATAAATCAGGTAAAAAAATACTAAATACCCGTTTTTATATACATAAAATAAACTACATGTAAAATATTTGATAGTGCCCCACGCAATACTTTTGAAATTACATTGCAAAAAAAAAAATTAAGTAGATTTTTGAAGAAGCTAAACTTTTAAGTAAGTTTTTGAGAATTTCGCCTTTTTTACCGATACAAAAACAGGGTAAGTGCATCCGGACAATAGTTATATTAAGTGCACAATATTCTGTTTTCACCGAGGTAAAATTCATCAACGTAATTAATTTTATTAAATATTATTTAATGATTTTTCGCAATAAATCCAGAATATTTTAAGCTGAGTATATGATTTCCTTATTCTGACAAATATAATGCATGCCAAAAATATTAATTCAAGATCTTCTGCGGGATCTACTTACCTATTTTACCAAGATATTACTACTAAATGTTGAGATATAACACGGTAACCATATACTTATATAAGAGGAAGATATGCAAGAAGTAGAGGAACAGAGGAAGTACTGACCTGGTGGAAGAGCCCCTAAGACTGGCGGCCAGGGAGTGAACTCCATCTCGTCGACGTCACGGATAACCGTTCTTCGGGTCACGGCTAGAGTGCGACCTGCTGATCTTGGCCTTGTGGAGGGGGACCGACTCTGGCACAGTGGCTCTGCTACTGGTGAAAGGTAGTCGTCGGAGAGGCACTTCCCGGAGGAATGTATGGACAAAAGTCTTTCTTTTCTCCTTTCTTTGTAATGGACAAGGAAAGACTTGAGCCCTTTGGATACCTGAAGGGAGTCACGTACGCGCCCTATTTTAGGACAAGAGAAGGGCTCAAGACTCCCAGAAGTTGAGGTCTATGACCTCTGGAGAGTGGTCTAAGCCAGGCTGATAAGGAAATCAAGTTGTAAGACTGTAACGGGAAAAATGGAATTAGAAAAGACCATTAGCTTAAACATCATATTTCAATCCCGAAATCTTTAATATAGATAAAAATGATTAATATTAAAAAATAAAATTAAAATAAAGTATTTTGTAATGAACTGCTAGACGGATCAATAAATTCTTTTTCTTTCTTCTTTTTTTTTTTTTAATGAACTCTCAGAACCCATTAAACTCATTTGCTTATTGAGTTCCAAACTGGCTTACAAATAAACATTAAAAATTTTCCACCATAATTTAGTGGAATAAGGCGGTTTTGAATAAATATTTTTTTAACATCAAATAAATATTTTTTGGAATGGATTTTTTGAATCCTTATATTTAATATTAAACAAACATTTTTTCTTCTTCAAAAAAAAAAAAAAAAAAAATGGTAACCACCATACATAATTATGAAGTTTGTCTATTACTCGTGATGGGCAAGCAATATCGCAATTCAAGACAGAAATCTTTACATATTTTTTATGAAAGATGTGTTTTTGTCGGTACGCCATATCTTCGTCAATCCTTCATCAAACCCAATTATTGGTCCCTCATTCTGAAAATCCTCTTCTTTTTCAGGTGGAAAAAAAGAGCCACCCCCCTCCTCCCGAAATTTGACGAAAAAAGTTATGAAGGAAAAGTAACTTTATTTGTGAATAACTCAAAAAGTATACATTTTTATTATTGTATTTATGATTATTTGAAAGATTACTAAATTCCCTTCAAATCAAAAACATCTAAATTGGACCATTATTAGCTGAAATACAAGCTACTCGTTAATATTTTGGTTTAAAACGTGAAGGAAGTTTTACATATTTTTTTCTTTGGTCAATTAAAATTAACGAAACAATTGTAAATGATTCCTTCATCTTATGATACGGTGAATTATTTATTAAATTGTTATTTTGTCATTTGTTCACTGACCAATATTCTTCGCTAATTATTCACAATGGCCAACTAGTTATTCCTAAAAGAAAAATAACGTAAATAGTTTTGGATTACTTGCTATGCGGTATGGTATATCTGAAGTGCCTGCCAGAGTCAAGATTATATATTGGTATTTGTAAAAATTATAATCAATTGATAAAAACTCAAGATTGTTATCCACTTACCTTTATTGAATATATAAATAAGTATTTATTTTTTAAATAAACAATTTGACAGAACCGTTGTTAAATTATATTAAAAAAAATCAGATAATGTTTACGAAAATTATTCATGTCCACACATTAGCTAAGTGTTTTCCTAAAATTTAAGAAGGACTTTAACTTTGAGATCTATAAAAATCATTTAGATTTTTAAAATATCATATTAAATTTCTTGGATAAAATTCTGAATCTGTTAGATTCAAAAATACATATTTTATTGGATTAAAATTATTGAATTTTAACAATATTTACATTTTAAATTTAATTATATATATCGTCACAATATGACCAAATTTTCTACAAATATATCTCAAATGTAATCTGGAAATAAAAAAAATATGTATTTTTCAAAACTGTTCAAGATTTTTTTTAAATTATCCTTTTATTTTTTTATTTGAAACCTCTTGCAGACGGTAAATTTTTCCGTCTATCATTTAATTATAAACTCATTTCATTACTTCTGCGGAGTCTCTGGTACATCAGAACCCATCTTGGTACACCGTTTAAGATTGATGAGAAGAACAGTCATTTTTATTCTCCCCGAATCAGACTCCTTCCGCCTGATTGAAGAGGAAAACTACTCGTTATTTCGGGAATTTGTATATGGTTCAAAGGATGTAACAGGCCCTACACACTTCTCCATGGGAAAAGTAAAAGAGTCCACCCACCCAAGAAGAGGAAGCAGATAGAGGCTGAAGGACCCGACGAATGGACGTAGAAGACAGGGAAGCTGGGAGCTAGAAAATGGATGGACCCCATCAGTAAGGTGCCCAACCGTGTACCGGACCGCACCACAGTTAGCCTAGGTTTAATGAAAAAAAAATAAACATTCTTTAAAGCTTGTACAACAAAAAACATATATATTAAATAAAAGGTTGTTTGTTGGCAGTAGTAGACATACAAGAACCCCAACGTATTAACCCACTGCTGCCAAAACTCCATATTGCAGCAATGTCACGTAGAGAGGGGAAAACCCCTCATTTCGATAATAATGTATTCTGGTCGATAAATATCGATTAAAAAAAAATGACTTAAGAGCTTTGCATCCAACATAACTATCTATACTTAGTGACTTTTGATTTATTATTTTCAATAATGAACCATGTGGTCGAACAAAAAATTCAAAAACTTAACTCCCTCTCAAAATTTGAGGTTTTACGTTTCAGGATACGTAGAATTCGAAAAACGAATACAATTTTTTTGTCCGTACGCCGTCCGCTGCCGGAGAATTTTCTCCGAAACTACTGGACCGATTTTTTTTTCAAATTTGGATTTAAAATTAGAGGTCACCCGAAGATGATCCTCCTTCATCGACATTTCTATCCGCCTTTTCCTTTCAAGATGACGACCGAAAAACCTATGTTGCTATAGACCTTAGTGCCTAAACGAATATACTGATTTCAATGAAACTTCGCTAAAGTCTTCTTCTCGATGCCCTTTAAGTTTATTTATATAACTTACTTCAATGAAAAGAAACTGGACAAAAAAGTTAGGAGGGATGGTAAAATTAGATTCTGAATATCTAAAAAATTATACACTTTTTTGTTGATATTGTATTGGCTTACTTAAAATTTTACAGAATTTCCTAAAAAATAAAAATAAAATCGGGCAATTAGGAACAAAGATATGGTCTATAGATGTTTTTTATATCTTATACTACAAAGGTTATATTCTTTGTTTTGGTTTTTGAATGTGTTACTGAAGTAATGCTAATTTGTTTAGCATATTACTAATGATTAAAAAAAAAATGTTTAGTCCAATAATTCGAATCACCTTTTATTATGTTTTCTTTTATCACTAGGAAGGTGATTACTTTAGATGTATAATTGTTTGGAAATAATAAACCATTGTGAAATAATTTGCAGCGTTTTTAAAATAAACTGATATGGAAGATCGATTTATAGAAGTTGTATTATATTTTAGTTTTTTATTATTTTTAGCTTCCGTTAACATAATATTATGCTTTTTAATCGTACTTTTGACGATGGTTCCACTATTTATAGTATTTTATATTTGAGAAATTATGGGCTTTAGATATATAGATATTTATCTACCAACAATCAGAGATGTTTAAGGGCAGATTAAAGTTAATTTTTTTTTATTTGTAATCGCCTCTATCTTAGAGGGTAATTTTCGGCTAGTTTTCTATACTCTATTGCAATATTTGATCTCTATTAAGTATCGGAATAGGGTGGTGACTCCATTTTCGTTGTCTCTCAATATCTCTTTCATTGTTATTGGTAGTTTCAATTTTTGCCGAATGTTTTTGAACTCGTGGCACTCTGCTAACAGATGTTTCACTGACTGTGGTTTATTGTCACACTTTTGGCACGTGGGTGGTTCCAGTCCTCTGAGAAGGTACCCGAGAGTAAACAGGCAGTGATCAATTCGTATTCTTTACAATATGGTTTCTTTTCTTATGTATATTTTTGTGCTAGTAGCCCACTTGTTGTAGTCTATTTTTATTTCTAATAGTTTTGACTGTTTAGTTTTCCATCTATTTACCCAAGTATCCAACAACGTCTTTTTTGTTGCGTGTACCCAGTCTTTTACTGTGGTACAGATTATTGAAATTATGGTTGGTGCCTCTCCCTTCCTTGCTAAGTTAGCTGCATGGTCTGCTCTTTCATTGGCTGAGATAACACTATGAGATGGAACCCAGATAAATATCACTCTGACCGTTCTTTTTTTTAATTCCCACCATAGATTCAATATATCCCTTATTATTGAATTGCTTGGCCATGGGTTACCTATTGCTGCTATCATACATTGATTGTCATTGGAATTTGATATCCAACGCAGGGCCTTCTCTAGTAAATATGGAGTTCTCCCTAGGTAAGCTAAACAGAAGTTGGTGCTGGTTTTTATTAATATATACAGCGCAGCCAACACTGTTTTCCATTTTGGAGGCATCGGTATATATCGTATTGAAATCTTTGTATTTCTCCAATAATTCAAAAAAGTAGTTTTAAATATTCAGTGGTATAAAGTTAATTATATCCTATATAATTAAAGAATATTAGTCTTATTCTGATTTATCTTTTAAACTAGAATATTATTTATCAAATATCAACTATTTACGAGAATATAAGCTGTGAAGAAAAGCAACAACAGCAGGTACTCCTTCCCGCTGTTGTCATCAGGAACGTGGAGCCACGATCGTCAATCAGTCATGGTGGGAGTCATCTTGAGATGCCATGACAGAAGAATGGAATTCAATGGCCTCCTGAATGAAGAACCCAGAACTGATCTAGCGCTGTTTCTTTCCTTCTAACGACCTATTCCAACAAGTCATCCCATGACTCTTAGTAAAACTTATGGTCAAACAATATTGCAATATCCTCACATTATACTCGACACCAAAGAATTCTAGATACAGTGACTCATAGTCAAAATGGATATTGATAAGAAATTATTGAATAAATAAATAATTTAATTTATATTACATTGAAACAATAATTTGTTATGAATCATAATTTATGATCAATAAACAACAATTGTTATAATCAATTTATTATATTTTTTTCTTGTTATTATGTTATGGATTCATTATTATGTTTTGTTCTATTTTTATGTCAAGTTTCTTGATGTGAGGGTGTATGGCAGCTTCTGGTATATGAAATCTTCACTTTATAGTGGAAACTTGGTACAGTGAATAAACATGTTTACATTGACATTTTAAGAAGAAACTTGAATGAAATAGCTGAAAATCTGGGACTAAAAAACAAATTTAGTTTTTATCAGTATAATGACCCCTAACACTTCCATGTTAGTTAAGGAATGGCTTCTTCGAAATTGCCACGAAGTTATGAAAACTCCACCACAGTCACCAGATATTAATTTGATCGAACACCTATGAGCAAAATTGGAGGTAGAAATAAGTAAACTCGAAATTTCTAGCAAAGAAGACTTTTAAAAAACTCCTCGAAGAATAAAAAAGGCTAAGCCCAGAATTCACCAAAACATTGGTTGACTGAAGAGGTTGAAAATAATGGAATGCCTACAAGGTGTTGAACTAAATTAATAGTATTTATAAGTTAATAAGAAGTGAGGTGTATCATTTTGACTGTGAAGTAAAATTATCCAGTTTTTTGTTAATTTTTTTAAATAATCACAGTTGAATATTTTAATTTTATTGAGTTCGTACATATTATTTATTTAATGAAATTTATAACTGTATAACAATACAACTAGTAAAAATGCACACATTAGAAATAATAAATAATGACAAACAAAACAAAATAATAAATAATGGCATGAACAGACTTGAAGAGATCTGCCCAGTGGGTAGCACTCCCTATCTAATTCTAGGTAAGAAGATACGAGGCCATCTTCTTTTCAGACGCCAAGGGAGATTGTACATATTAAAATTGAGATTATGAATAAATCTGCTGACGAGTTTCTGGTTTAATTTGTTTACTGTGTCCATTTAATTTATTTTTTTATTTTTCTATGGGCTCTAGCAATTCCACCGTAAGCCATTGTACACAGATGTGAAATCATTCTCACTGAACTACAAACTTATTTAGGTGATAAAACGTATTAAGGACTCCTTTTAGGGCAGAATAGCCAAAATATTTAACAAAATACGTAACATAATTTTTCAGAATTTACTAGTTGATATAGTTTAATTTGAGGTAAACTAGAAGTTGATTTTCCTTCTAAATTTCTTGTTCTTTTTAAGATAGTGGTACAAAAAATCGTACATATCGTCGGTTTATTGCGAAAGGTCACTAAGTCACACTTTCGGTCGATTTGAACCTGAAGGTACGAAGTTGTAAATTTCGTTCATATTTTTCGATAGAATAACTCATCAAGTCTATAAAAATAATAAAAATCCTTTTAATATGTAATAAATAGTTTCACTAACATAAGCGTACGATGATCTGACTATACAGAGCAAAAGCCATCAAGTTACTTAATGAACTTGTTGTTCTCTAAATAACGTTATATCAGAACGCTAAAATTCATTGTATGGTACTTAATGACCTCTTTCACAGGATTAATTGATCATATAGCCATTAAAATAAATTAACTGAGGTAAGTCTAACTCATATTCTATGTAGTTGCTTATGGATGTAAGTGTTTTGTTTAACTATTATAGTATCTTAATTAATTTTCAGAAATAGGTTTTTTAGAATTGCAAATTACAGAAAGTAAATAATCAAATTGCTATATTAGTTGGTTTTTAATGAATAAAAAACTTTAAATTCATTGAAATGATACTTAATGACTTTTTCTAATATACCGATAATATATCCTTATTAAAACAACCGAGTGAAATTTGATTAGGTTTTTTCTCCCATCGGCCTTTTATTTGCTGCTAAAAGTTCTATTCTTTACAATTTCCATATAAAAACTTATATAATGATCTCGTATAGATTTTTTGTGATAAATAATGCCTCAAATATTATTAGATAATTATAATTTTTATTTTATTTATTTATTTTGTGTATATTGTTATAGCAAGAAAATTTTTT